GTGTATGCCCTGCATGCACAAGCCGCTGTTGTCCAGCGCATAAATGAACTAAATCTCATTAATAAGCAAACTAAAGCGATTCGTCTAGTCCAGTACATCCTGTTACAAGTCCTTTTATAACATACACGGCATTAATTCATATTACCATATAGAAAGGTGTATGAACCTAATTATATATTAGAGTGGTGTGATAATTGATGCAGCATAAAAAATAGAAGAGGATAAATAAATGCGTATTCATATTTAGCTACGCTGTATAACAAGACAAATAACGGGTTCCAGGGTGAGGACGTATTTTGTGCATTAAAGATATATTCTGGATGAGATTATTATTATATTATTTAGTAAATAACGTTTCGCGCACAAATTAATGACATAATTTGCATGAAAACTTCATCATGGGATTATTTATTATCAAACCACTACTAATATATTCGTTTTACCGTTATACATACATTACAGTCTCCAATTCAATACACTCACAGGGATAGAAATTAACTTTTAAACACGGGAGTCCAACGGACTCCCTAAAAAGAGGGAGTCCGCAGCAAAATGAGGGAGTCCGCAGTCTGAAGTTCAAAATTAAAGATATTTTACAATAACGCATGTGCTTATTTTTAAGATTTATGCGGTTGCACGTCTGCCAAATTTTCTTTGGACATTAGCTGAAATAATATGGTAATTCCGCAAGGCCGTGCTCTGGAACGAACTAGTTAGTATGGCAGAATTTTCAGGGAGTCACACGGACTCCTACACATGTCAAATCAGGACGTCCGACACAGTAAATCAGGGAATATTTGACTCCGGACTCCCGTTAATTTCGCACCCACACTCATACATGTGCGCATGCAACGATGTACTGCCATGGAATTCAATACATGCAAGTATGCTCGCACGCACAAACACGCTCAACAGCCGTATATGCAACAAAATCAAGCTAGCAAGCTAATTGGTTTCCTGGTTATGATTTTACCAGGAGTGAATAAAAATACTCACTCCTGACTCAAATACTCACTGAGTTTTACTCGCTCCTGATTGTACATAATGTTATTTTAACTAAAGTTCCAGCTACTAGGTGGCAGCAGCTTGCAGTGCGACGTGTCCCACAGCACCCCACTATTAGATGATAAAATATACGAGGTAATTATGGCTCAATATTACAGACTAAAGTAATGCCCTGCGTCATCCAGGCAATACGTTTCAGAAAAAAAGGTTCATAAAGCGAAAATCCGTGACGTGAATCACGTTTTCCCAATGTTAATAGGAGATGCGTTCCCACGGAAAATCCTTCAGTTAAAAATAGACGTACTATTCGTAGCAGCTGAAGTCGTCGTAAACTGCGATGAAAAAATACTCACAGACACATGGGGGAGTAATTTCAAGGAACACGTACATTTCATCGCAACAGTGCATAGCGACAGGTAACACGTATCAACGATGACGCCCCAGAGGTGCTGGCAGCTGGCCGCACATTTATTACATACGTTTTAGTTACGGTAATTGAAGAACTGTTGTGTAAAATCATCTATTCAATCATTTGAAAAGTTCCAGGGGAGCAAGTTTACGTTTTGTTTCCTGAGTTTAGTGGTTATAATTTACAAATTAGGCACGGACGAATTCTACGTATGGCCCAATATACGTAACAAGCTGTCGTACCGTGGGGTCCTACTGTATATTGAATAAATGCTTGAGACATTAGCTGCTATTTATATGGCCCGTATTTCACGCAAGCTGTATTTTTGAGGGTGTTGGACACATTTTTGGATGTGTATGGACCCTCAACAATCGACTCATACGTGAAAAAAAATCACTCAATTGTGTCATATTTGTTGTGCTCCTGGTAAAATCTATCTACATGGAGTGAACATCGCCTCTTAGCCAGGTAATGTTCGACTGAGCAGCTCTGACAACCTTTTTATATTAAACAACGCTAGTGCTGTAGCTAAGGGGGGGGGGCAGTGCCCCCCCAGAACAATTAGATACAATATATGGTCAATAGCGGTCACCTTCCCAGAACAAACCACGCAGGTGACTCTGAACCTCCCTGAAACAAAATGGGTTAGCTACGTTCCTGAATGCAGACATTTATAAGTTTTTTTACTCTAATGCCGTGTTAACGTGTGCTTATGTCAAAATTGTGTTTTTCAATGGGCAACACTAGTTTTCAGCCACACTCAACAGACCATATAGGTACTTCTTATTTACCAATGGAAGGTTTGCGAAGTCTTTAATTTCACTATTATTTTCAGTTATAAATGTATGTATTTCTATTAAACAGGTGTGCATGCGTGTAATTAAACATTGATCCATTATGAGTATTATTAAGTGAAAGAGTCTAAAGAAACATTAGGACTTTTGTAGTAAACACATATCATGTTTATTACCTATCATTTTATTATTGAAACGTTCCAAGTGCCTGTGACTGGTACTAGCTATATCAGGGCTGTAGCCTCAGGGGGGGGGGGGCAAGGGGACAGCTGCCCCATCTAGATTTTGACGCAAAATTAAAAAATAAGCTTAGCTAATAATTAATGTTTTTTTGGTCACTTAATGACTTATCCATGAAAGCCTTGTCTCAGACCCACCCCTAACACACTATGTCTATGGACGTCGATCAAGAGCTGCGCCCCTTGCTCATCATTACACAGTTGACTCATGAAATTTTGCCCCCCCTCCACTAGGAATGATCCTTGATCCTTGATCAAAGCTTCTTAGAGCTGTATTGGCCTCTTGTAGCACTTGTATGGCAATGTCTCATAGTAATGGCACATGTATATTTAAAAACTGGTAAAATCTGGTAGGTGGCGCTGGGTTAAATGTGGGCAGTCTGGGTAACGAACTCCCCCCGAAGCCTAGTGATCTCAGTTCTATGCTCCTTTAGACTATCCTCAGAGTCCACACACAATAAAATATCCTCACTTAGAGTTCCTACCCCACACTCTTTGAAAATCTTATGCTGAAGAAGTCCAAGTTCCTCCTCAAACTTAGCACATTCTAGTAGGTAGTGAGGTACAGTCTCGGCGACACGACACACGTCACACAATGGATCATCACTAACTCCTATCTGTCAGTATCTGATGTAGGTATTTTCAGAGACCAATGTAGCCTGATCTTAAGCGTGCAATCTTGGTAATAAGCAATGGTCTGTTTGGATGGTCAGTGGTGGTGTAATGAGTGACCGATAGTATGAACACATATAACCGTCTTCCTATCTCAGCAGCATCACATTGACGTTGCCATTTAGCACTAACTGATTTTCTCGCTGCACTCTTGATGGTTCCTTGGGATGTTATACAGTCCAGCTTATTCAGATTTTTGGCCTCACAACTGGCTTCCTTCGCTAGTCTATCGGCTATCTCGTTTCCTGCTATATCAGCATGGCCTGGTGTCCAGTCGGTGTTGACTGAGATGCCTTTTTCCTCCAGCTGACTAATACGGCTCTTGGTGGTAGCTTAGGTGTTATGTAGCTGGTTAGCCTTCCAGCCCAGTGTGAGTAGTCCAACTGCGGACTGGCTATGGGAGAGGATCTGGATCTCCTCTATACTGGCTAATCTCACATCGCTGAGGATATATTCCAGCGTCATAAGGATGGCAACTAACTCTCCCAGTAGTATGGATCCGTGGAGTACTGGCTTCCTAAGTTCCTTCAGCTGATCCGAGTCGGGTAGTACAATGCAGGTGCCTGCTCCGCATGGTCCCGGGTTGGTCTGGCAGCTACCGTCGGTAAATGCTATAGCTGTGGCCGGTGGGCAGCTCTGGACTATACTACGGATCATTTCCCTGTACTGTTCTTCCTGCAGGCTAGAGCGATCCTTGGAGGAGCCCAGTAATGACCAGTACTCAGGTGGAGAGCGAGAGGGCTGTAGTGACAGGATGTATGAGAAGCAAGGTTCAACACACTGTAGAGAGGTACCTGTCTCAGTGGTCATATCCTCCATCTGTGACTGGGCTAGGCCAAATGGTGAGATGTACCTTTCTCTTCATTCTATGCCTTGCCACCTGTTCCACGCTCTTCTTATCGGTTCTCTGGGTTCTTTGGCCAATATCTTCCCCATTTCTCTGACTGAGAGCTCTTCTCTTCGTAAGGCCAGTGGGAGCACACCAAGTTCAACTTCTAGAGCCTCTCTACTGGCGTTGCTCATTGCATCTATACAGATGGACAGGCCCTTTCTCTGGATGTTGTTGAGTCTATGGCAACCGCTCGCTATCTGCCATACTGGCGCCGCGTATGCCAGGTGGGGGACCACAATTGCTTGGTAGATCTGGTCTTTTGGTGTTAATTTTCTCTGTGCTCTTGACTGCACGTAGTAGTCCTAGTGCCTTGTTAGCCTTGGCCTCTACCTTGTCCACGTGGTGACTGAAATTCAGCTCCTCGTCCAGGTAGACAACTAGGAGGCGTGGGGTTGTAGCGGAGAGTGGTGCTTCCCATCTTGATGAGTGGCTTGGCCTGGCCTGATAGTGGTTTCTTCTGGAATACGCATACTTCCGTCTTCTCTGTGTTGATCTTCATCCTCCACATATTGGCCCAAGACTGTATACTGATGCGAGGTCTTTTTCCATCATCTTGGCAAGGGATTCTACATTCTCTCCTAAGTGCCAAATAGAGCCATCGTCTGCAAACTTTATCTTATCGCCTGTGGTTCGGTTCAAGGATAGAGATGATGTCCCAGACGGTGATAGGATAGGATGATGTTCATTACTGGACATGCTCTCTATCCTTGAGCCTGTGGTTCACTCGAATATGTCTTCTATGTACAAGTTAAACAGAAGGGGAGATATGCAAGAAGGGGAGATATGCAACAGAAGGGGAATGCCAAGCGACGACAAGTAGGCCTACAACTGCAAGCACAATCTAACACAATTTGCACTTGCACTATCCTATGCTACACATAAAAATGAAAAGATTCGCTAAAAAAGAACACGTCTTTACAAGTATTCTCATTTCATGGATGTATATTATTATATATATAACTTAAGGCAGCTACTGAGACATTACTTACCAATGCCAATGAAACGAGGATGGGGCCTATGGCTATGGCTATGTGTTGTTAGTGAGCTGCTGGCCGCGAGCGCCGAGACTCCGAGTGACGATACTTTTATGCGACTTTTTGTAGTATGCGAAATTTTGATATAAACCGCGTCTTTTTGCAGTGTTTTTGCTCCTGCAGGGCCGTTTTGTCTCTAAATTGACTTAACAGACACTATCTTGACGTTTTCTATCACTTTCCGAATGATTAATGCGCCGCTGAATTTCACGCGAAAAGGCGCTTGATGGCGCTGAGATGCTATGACGCGGTCCTCCTAACTACCGGAATGTAACCCCATAACCCTAATTTCATTATAGCATGGTCGAACAGGGATTATTGCTCACTTTCGTTTGACATTTCATGGAACCAAGTTTAAATCTGTGTTTAAGTGAAATACACAATTTTGATAATAAATCACCACTGTTCCCCAAAACATTTTGCACATTAGTTTGTGCAAGGCTTTTGGAATTTTAACCCCTTTCCGAAACAGTCGAGGTGTGCGCCCACAACATTTCAATCCGATAATGACGAAATGCAGCTTATTTGAGTATTTTTATTCGCATGAAGTTAAACTTTATTAAACGCACGACAGAATTCATATATTTTTATATACAGATAGATTTATACAGCGAGAGAAAGAGAGACAGAAGGAGCTATCAGTTGGAGATCAGTGGTTGACAGCAATACGGGACACGCCTCTCCGGAAACGCACTCCGATTTTACTAACTGGGAGTAAAATGCGGACGGATTCAGTCATGTTTGTGTCTTTTTTATGTTTTAATGTTATAGTAGATATTTTTATTATTAAATATTACTATTTGTGTTTTTCTGGATGTTTTTATATGCTATCTATATTATTTAGTGTTAGAAACAAAACTCTATCCTTACGATGCTTCGCTCTGTCTGCTCCATATTGGCTGGTTGGCTGTCGTTAGCGAGGTTTTTCTTTACCGGTGGATAAAATCTTTCAACATCTCTGAAACTTAAGGACGTTTACCTGCAAAGACGTAACACGAGATGAATAACAAATTGCTTCTCATATTTCTCTTAGTTTTACCAGCAGTGCTTATTGTGATAACAGATGGTGAGTTTGTAAACTGACCCATACGTATTGCTATGTAGAGTAACGATCACTGTTTACGTGTAGCTTCGCTTACGTGGCAAGTATTTCGTGGACAATTTTGTACTTTCTTTACAACATTATTATAGTCAGGAGCTTAAATCAAAGTAATTATTCGAAAAAAATTGTTTTTTTGCCAAGAACTAGAATTAAGTAATGCAAAACGTATTCAATAAATAGTTGGAAATTCGTTTAGACACGTACATGATACGTCTGTACTGTAGACAATGTAGAGCCTACTGTTTGTGACGTGTGGTTAGGCTAAGTTGGACGGCTCGATACCATACAGATAGAGATAGAATAAATTTGTAGTTTGCTCGTAGTATATTTTGCAAGACCACAGCTTGACTTATCGTCAGAGCGTCAGAACAGAAATGGTAAATTTGTAATGTTTGTTAATGTTATCTCTTGTTCTTGTGATGTATTCTAGCAGACCAATTAAGTCATTGTTGTTCATAGACCGAATAATTCTGTCCCATATAACCTTTTTTATATTTTGGTGAGGATTATATTGGGACAGAACGGGGTTCATTGAAATTTCGTGAGATCGCATGCAAAATGCATGCGCTGCGAATGCGGCCCGTACGCCGCTATTGGCGTGAAAAAAACCTTGCCGTTCCCTTCTGCATAACTTCACCTTGCTACAGATATGTGTATACATTCACTTCAATCGTTATTCACTTCTTAAAAGATTGTTTTTCAGAAACCTGCTTCATTCAACTTTCGTAAATAACATTCGTCATTTACAAACAATCAGACCAATCAGAGCGAGGCTATCAGCCCTCCTGCAGCGCCACAGATACAAGCGAGAACCAGGCTATTGCAACACTCGCTCTGATTGGTCTGATTGTTTGTAAATGGCCAATGTTATTTACGAAAGTGGAATGAAGCGGGTTTCTGAAAAACAATCTTTTAAGAAGTGAATAACGATTGAAGTGAATGTATACACATATCTGTAGCAAGGTGAAGTCATGTAGAAGGGAACGGTAGGGTTTTTTTCGCGCCAATAGCGGCGTATGGGGCGCATTCGCAGCGCATGCATTTTGCATGCGATCTCACGAAATTTCAATGAACCCCGTTCTGTCCCAATAACCAACACCAAAATATAAAAAAGGTTATATGCAGGCTTTCATTTTTAAGGGGCGCGATCGCGCTCGCGCTCCACCGCGCACCATAAATTGTGCCATGGTGCGCGCATCATCGCGCCTCATAAAAGTGGTTGAAATCGCGCACCAAAAGTCTGTGTATCGATCGATCGTGTACATCAAAAGCCGCCGCGTCACGCGTGGCCTTGAGGCTAGTTTTCCCTGTCCATAGAGTTGTCAATGTTGCAATGGATCGCGAGCCCTGAGTATCTATTCTAGCCCAACTCTAGTTTCAGTAGCCAATGAGAATGCAACTTTCATACACCCTTCGCAGGGCTCAATTTTAACAGTCGTCCGGTCGTCCGTGACGACTGGATTTTCTCTCGGGCAACTACAAATTGCTTCCGTGGTTGTCCGGTGTCCAACCTCTATAAAAATGTTATATTCATAATGCGCGCGTTCATTTTACATACGGCCAGGGTTGCACAATACGCTGCAAACGTACATGTCTAGACGCATTGTCTGGCTTGCTTGATACAAAGTATAACATTAACGTGTTTAACAACACAATGTTTCGTGTTAATTTTCAATTTTTGCTCATCTGTGACTTGACACAGTGTTAGTAATGTTAGTAATGTTAGTAGTTAATGTAAATGTTATGAAATAAATTTTATGCAACTTTTAATTACTATTATTATACGTCATTGATCCCAGCATCATTTACACATTACCAATATTTTATTATCTTCATATAATGAGTGAAACAATGCGAATGGCCATGTCTGCTGTCACTGCAATACGTACAAAATGTACATGATTAGGCCTTTTGCTTTACAGCACTGAGCATCACGTGAGCAGAGCGCATGCAGAACATGTTTAAATAATATCCGGACAACCAAAACTCTTGAGGGACAACCCTTTTGGGTCTCTTGGTTGTCCTCCGGACAACCCAAAAAAAACCTTAAAATTGAGCACTGCGCCTTCGTCGTATGGCAGACCTTTTAAGAATGGCAGACCTTTTAAATTTAAGGGTGTGATTTTTAGTGGAGCCATAGCTCCATCATGCCTCTTAAGGGTGTGATTTTTTAATGGAACTCTCCATCATGCCTCTTAAGGGTGTGATTATGGAGCGTGAAAAGTCCCCCTATGGTGTTCTAGGGGAGTCATTAGTAGTCCTCCTGTACTTTTCAAATCTGAAAGCTTGTATATGGGACAGAATTATTCGGTCTATGTTGTTCAGTGACATTGCATTAAAATCACGATTGCAATTTCTGTTCTGACAACAAAAATTACAAGTTTACAATTTCTGTTGTATAAAAATTGCCACATTTGTTTAGGTTGTTGGTCCCTAGAATAGCGTCAGATTATATAAAAAGTTATGCCGCAATTTATTGGTTTAACACACATAGATAGAGCAAGAGATAATTACTGCTATTTGTTATTATTACAAACTACAAATTTATAGCAGTGGCAGTGATAGTCAGCAGGGTGAAAAACTGATAATTGGAGGCACTGGTCCAGCAGGACCAGTACCTCTGAGGAAGTACTGGTCCTGGTCAGTAGGCACTGGTCCAGGATTTCTGTCATAGCAAAGGGAATGACTCGGATATGGGGACGTTTTTATAGGGGGGGGGGATGGTGCAATTTGGTGATGTGCATTCTAAGGTATTCTTAAAAATTATATTTTTTACTCATTTCGATACACTGATGCGTAGTAAATCGGAACAAGTCCAAAGATCAATCTCAAAAATCAATCAAATCAATCAAAGATCAAAAATCAACGATCAAAAATCAACGATCAAAACATCAAAGATCAGCGGTCTCTGAAGACCGCCCATTATTCCTATAAATTATCATATTTAATTACAGGGGTCTTTTTACAAATTCAGCAATGGTGTCTACGTGCTCAGGTGTGCTTGTGTGGAGATACGTTTTATGTTTGCCTACACATTTATATAATGTACATTGTACAGTGATACAATATACATATAAAATACTTTTAACAACTTGTGTTTATCAGAGCTAAATTGTGCATGATTTTATTTCCAGATCACACACGCACGCACGCACGCACGCACACATACACGTAATGTGGAAATAAAAGCATTACAAATAAAAGGAACTTGAATTAAGAAATAATAAATATCTTCTTAGCACATATTAGTCTTTGGAAAAGAAAATAAAGTTAATCTGTCAGAGTTAGATCCATAATTAAGTTATTTAATATCTAAATTATAATATAGAGATTTCCAGGATTCCAGCAAAGTTTTGCTGTCCAAGTTTTGGAATCCAGCGATTCCAGGAAAGTTTTGCTGTTGCGCTCTCATACCAGCGGTGCCCGGCCACCTCCTACATATGTAATAATGAACATGCACCCTGGCACGCAGCTGAAAGTGAAACAATCAATAATGCACTCGCCCCTCCCCCCTACTTCAATCAGTGCCGACCAGCCAACAGGCACGTACGGAGGCTGTGCATAGCTCTAGTACTATAGCCCACGTACAGTTGCCGCAGGCCTGCCACATACGGAAACTTAAAAAAAAAATAGGAAAGGTCAATACAAATGTTTGTGTCGGCCCCTTTTTGGCGGGTCGGTCGGGTGAGGGCAAACAAACAACATTTTTATTATGGCCTCAGTTTGGTAAATTTTTTATTTCCTGTGCGGCGATTATGTAGTCGCCCCGCCGGACCAGCTGACAGGAGCAAGCAGTCGCCCGGTCGATTTTCTAATCGCCACTGGCGACTGGGCGACCGCTTGTTTCTCACGCTGGTCAGTTAGAATATTTTTCATCATGCTTTTCCTGCTCTGTCTCTGTATAACAAGTCAGTCATGTATACACCAAAATATACTTAGCCGATAGTGCCATGCTCAATTAGAGGCTTATCTAGCCTAGCCTAGTATCTATGTAACGGCAGGCACAATTTGCATATTAATACACTGTGTTATACAATATGCTTGTAGTGCTGTGCATAGTTGCAAGGATAGCGTGCACTCGTACATCATTATTTTCACAAAAATATACAAGGATTGAAATCTGTACATCATGTTGACGTAGATAATTGATGATGCTACTTGTTTCTCGTGACTCCCTGCCCATGCACTTTGATATGGTAACTTTAAATAAAGCAATGGAGATTGAGTACCAGTCTAGAACCATTTACGTTACTCAGTGAGAAACATTTTTATTTATGAAATCATTCCTTCGAGTAATACCCGCTTTGAGCATGAGTCCTAAAAAACTTACTGTCTATATGGAACTCACAAAAATTTTGTATAGCTTTCCTGTGCAAATATGAATAAAAGTGTGATATGGTGGAACGAACAATTCCACAACTATCTTATGTTGCTGTGTTTGTTGTTGGTGTATTAGTTGAGGCAAAGCCGAAAAGTTTTTTGTGTGTATTAATGAATGTTTCTAAATGTCATTGTTCTTTAGGCGGAGGTAGGTCTTCATTCGTCGCCCATGCCGATGATGCTGTCGAGGATGAGGTAGAAGGCGAGGATGATGTCACAATAGACGATGAGGGTCCAGGTGCAGGAACGCTAGAAACGGATGCTGTTGTTGCAGATAGTGTAAGTTTGGAAAAATATTTCCCAGCAAATGCATGGTAAAAAATGATATAAAAGCTATGAATAAAATGAAATAATAACAATTACCGTTGCTGCATTTCGTATCTATATAGGTGAAAATCTTGTTATGTAATTATATAACAGTGGCTATAGGCCTATCTTTATACCACGTCAGGGACATATAACTAGAAATTGATATTGTGCCGTCCTGTTACAACACCCAAATTTTGCAGATCATATGAAATTTAAGAAACTATTCATCTTTGGCCCAGCTGAGAATGTGCTTCATTTGCATTTTTGATTAAAAAAATATAGTAAAGTCAATTATTGAAAGCCTCCTATCAAATAAAACAATCCAAAACTATGGTTCTTTTCATTTTCTAACATTGATCTCAATTTATATTTATCACCTTAACTTGCATATTTCTAGCTGGTAGTGCATGGTTGCTTGGTTTCCAGGTGTAGCCATACTAGCATATAATGAACTGTTGCAGGAAGAAGAGGAAGAGGAGGAAGAAGAAAAGGCATTGCAAGCTTCACCTGATGCTCAGACAAAGATAGTTTTCAGCAAACCTGACAACTACATGGGTATGCTTTTTATAGGTGTTACAGAATGCAGAGTATTCAATCACGTTGAGCAAATAAATGTGTTTACACAAGTGCATACACATACCAGCGGTTGCTAGGTCAGCGTATGCCATTACTGTTGGACTGCCAGTCAATACCATTAACTTATAGGCTGGTCCGATGAATTTCTCAGCTTTGCTGGACCGTGGGTCCGGCGCTAGTATCGTAATCGCAAAGTACTACACCTATAGATTAGGCTAAGTACATTTTTTCATTTGAAAAGTGGCATGTTATCGAATATATTTTGGAGTAAATGATGCCATGTCTGTTGTAATACCTATCAAGTTAACAGCAGTAAATTCCGTGACATGGAGGCTGACATATTGTTTCCCCACTATGCACTGTGTAACACAAATCATTTTTGGCCAATGAAATTGGTTTTAACTCTACCCATGCATAGTTACTTTAAAGGCATAATGGGCCCATTGATTATGCAAAGTTGATGAATGCTACAGCCTACAGTAACTGGCACCTTGTGTAGTTAATAAGTACATAACCTTACACATGGTGCAAAATTAACGGGAGCCCGGAGTCAAATACTCTCTGATTTACTGTCGGACTCCCTGATTTGACATATGCAGGAGTCCGTGTGACTCCCTGAAAATTCTGCCATAGGCTAACTAGTTCGTTCTGGACAGAGCACGGCCTCGTGGAATTACCGTATTTTTCCAGCTAATGTCCAAAGAAAATTTGGCAGACATGCAACTGCATGAATCTTCAAAATAAGAACATGCGTTACTGTTTTAATATCTTTAATTTTGAACTTCAGACTGCGGACTCTCTCTTTTTGAGGGTAGGGAGTCCGTTGGACTCCCGTGTTCAATAGTTAATTTCTACCCCTGTTACATCCAAACGTGTATTAGCTTGTCCAATATCACTGCTGGTTACTAAGAAATGTCTAATTGAAATCCGAGGTCAAATAAATCGGTTGTTTACAGTTTCAAAGCGGCGCCAAAGCAGGTGTGATACAGATTATAGTGCACCGGATATTTTCGCACGCATGCTCGGACGTATGCAATGCTATCATCAGTGATTTCGATCCTTGTGGTCTGAGTGCGCATTCGTTCATGCAGTATCTCTGCGCACTGGTAGATCGTCTCCAGCTGTTAGCGTTCAGCTGCTTGAAAGCTCATGCCGCTGTATTGCGCTCAGCTGGCAAGCTAGCGATAATTGTAATGAACGTGGATTCCACATACGAAACACAGACCACCACTGGCACCTCCATTTCATCTGGCGTCCAAAACATACGGGCCGAACAAATGTTTTACGTCATCGCTTGACTCCTGGATGACATTTACGGCACGTAAATGATACGTTGATAAATATCAACAACCGATTTCAAGTCTTGTTTGTAATGTAACCAGCAGTGGTATTGGACAAGTTAATACGCGTTTGGCTGTAAGGTTATGTACTTATTAACTACATAAGGTGCCAGTTACTGTAGCATTCGTCAACATTGCATAATCAATGGGCCTATTATGCCTTTAAGTAAGACTATCAGGATGACTCTGATTCTGAGGGAGTCAATAGAATAAAGCTGAAGTGAACCAGGTTACAAAATGAAAATGTAATATCTGCAAAATGGCACTTGATGTTATATTGGGATAAATCATTGTAGAATGCATGCCAAGAATCAACCAGAGCGCACCAATTAACCAACCAGCTTTAACAACCGAATCATTATATTTATAGCTACTAAAATATGGCAACATGCTAATATACTCAATTGATTTACCCATAAGGTGCATTTTTCACATGCTGGAAATATTTTCGGTCTGGCAAAAAGTCTTCTGGTCCTGTAAAAATACAACTACAGGATGGAATGTTCTGTAAAAATGAAATCTATTGGTGACCCCTGGCACATTGGCATTTGGCAATTAAATTATACATATTTTAGTTTTAGGGTTAATTGAGATTTATTCATGATAATGATCAATGCAAATTTTTCTTATAAAAAATTAATTAGACAGCAAACGGCCTTAAATATGTGTGTGTGAGTGTGAATTTGTTTGTTAGCTTGTCAACTCCTGTTGCATCTGTTGCCACTTGCTGGCATGACGTCAGTTGCACTCTGAGTTTATTTTGGTTCACCACAGTGTATAACTCCTACAGAGTTGTTATCATTAGTAGTAGACAAGCAAAGCAGTATAGGTTGTCGGAGCATTATAATTAACGTTTGTTTACTTTAATTATTTGCAGAAATGCCAGCAGGAGCAATTGTGAAGTTCCTAGTGGGATTCATCAACAACGGTGAAAAGGATTTTATTGTAGACAGCATCGATGCAGCCTTCCGATACCCACAAGACTACAGCTTTTACATCCAAAATGTAAGCAATTAATTTACTTAATGCGAGTCATGAAGAAGTGTTCGGTAAGGAAATATATCAGGTTTATTGCTGGAATAAGTTGCCGATTGTCTAAGTCATTTGTTACTGTATTTATGCTGCCAGTTTATCCCCTTGCTACTGTTTAATTGTATAATTGCAATAAGTAAATGTTCAACTTGTCATTACCTTCAGCTAAAAAAAAATTGTATGCTGCATCATAAATATTGAATTGTAAAACACAACTGCTACTTGGTATATTTGTCTGCATATACACCTATAGAGAGCAATGAAGTGACTAGGAAATTATAGGAAAGCGTGTTTTCGATAGTAACTAACATATATATGGTTTTTTCTCCTAGTTTACTGCGGCCTATTATGGACGATTGGTAGAATCCAAGAAGCAAGCAACATTTGACTACAGCTTTATGCCTAGTGAGAACTTCAATGCAAGACCCTTTGGTCTGACTATTAACCTTAACTATAGAGATGTTGTAAGTAACCATATAAAATCATTAGTTTAGTATAATTGTTGCAACAAGTGCGATGAGAAATTTGTTTGGTAGGATTACAAACAAACCAAGTTGCATGATTCACAGTAATAAGGTGATAGATACCATATGCTGAATTTGTTTTTCTGGCACTTTCTGAAAAACCTATCATTTCGTATTGTGAAGTTATAGGAAAATCAAAGTGCCGATATCAATGTGATTCAACTCCAGGTGCAGCTGCCTCTGCTGTAGCTTCTGTACCAGTCGTAGAAACAGACAGTCTATACACAGCCGAGCATGAATGAAAGGGCTTTTGTAGGGATATTGGGCAAAACTGTTGTTATGTCTTGGAATATGTTCAACAGTACACACAACTAGTCACTGAAGCATACGTATCTAGTGATCACATCCTTGCAGAAAGATATATTAGATAAAGGGTCATACCTTTATGAGGCTGACTGCTGACGTGTGTTTAAAACCGTATTGTTAGCTCATCTGACATAGTCAGATGCAGCTTGTAGAATCGCATGATTGTCCGTGCGTGCGTCCGTCCGTCAACAGTTGGGCACAAGTCTAAACGGCTAGACGTACAGATTCGAAAGTCGGGACGTAGGGGGGTAATCCGAAAACGAGTTGGGATGTCGAAGCTGGGGGTCAAAGGTCAAGAGGTGTAAAAGAAGGAACATTCTTTCCTTAACTTAAGGTATAGGGAGGAAATGCAGAATTGCGGCACAAATCTAAACGGCTCGACCTGGGCTCGTGATAGTCGGTGTATAGCATCATGGTAGGAAAAGCCATCACTGTGCCGAAATTGGAGGTCACAGGTCAAAGGTCAATGGGCACAGGGCAGATTTTGACGGAGCGATTGAAAAACTTTTTTGTTTCAGCACTGACCTCTCATTTTTATAACTTTATTGAAAGCACCATGAAATGTGCTTTCCACTGACATGCGAAGAGTAAGTGTCTGATAACCTTTTGACCCTCAAGAGAAAATTTTTTTAATAGGGTTAGGGTTAAGGTCACAATGCACCATAAAACAGGAGTTTCACGCACGCGATTTGTATCAACCAATGGGATTTGGGAAGTGAGCAGAATGCAGAAGGTTGCTGAAATGATGTGTACGCAACTGTGTATCTGCATATCTGCGCCTAACAAAGGTGTCACTACGCACGACTTAAATGTTACGTTTATAGCCGTAGCAACAAACCTCAGATGAGCCCAGACGCTCTGCGGCTCTTGTTTTGTGAATGCAATTCCTTATATGTAGGGAGTTCCATAACTATTTTAATAGTGTATAAAAATGTAACCCTTATTCTCTAATAAGAAGCTGCAATTTGGTATGGCAAAGCTACCTTGCCTGGTATGTGTGCAGTTGACCTATGATTTTCAAAACATAAACAATGAGTAGCAATTTTAATTCTAAAGCAACAAATTCTCAACTTGCCTAAGTGAAAACAGTTCTTTAATATATTATGTGTTGTTAGCTGAGTGCTATGACTCTGTGGCACTTGTTTTGCATGCAAGTTTAGTCCTGGTGTAGGTATGCAATTTGCTCGTTACAGAGTGCATGTATGCATCGTGCAATCATTTTGCTGCGTGTGTTTATCCTTTTAATGCAGAAGCTACCTATTTATTGCAGGAGGGTTCTTTGTACCAAGATGCTCTGTTTAACGAAACCATCAGCATAATCGAAGTTGATGAAGGTCTTGATGGTGAAACGTGAGTGAATTCTTGGTCACCGGAAATGAGCTTTATAACATAAATTTATGTACTTTCCATGATTTTTTTTAATGGGCATAGGGATGTAATAATTTGCTTGTGTCATTCCCATACTCTAGGATTTATCGCATGAAGATGTGTAGTGCTGTCTTGATGAAACAGTGGTGCCAACTTTATCAGGGCCTCATATAAGTGGTCGCATCGCTTAAAAAAACATGACTGAAAATCTCTATACACATGTTAACCGCCTAATAGTGGCATTTTCACTGTTTCCGGCCCGTCCCGATAATGCCGCGACCACCGTACCAAATGAAGGTAATATTTTTGTCTTGCATAGGTTCTTCCTGTACGTGTTTCTGGCTGCCGTGGCTGTATTGCTACTAGTTGCTGGACAGCAGTTCCTAGCATCATTCACAAAGAAGAGGGGACAGCGTACCAAAGCACCAGTTGAGATGGGGACATCAAACCATAATGATGTGGATTACGACTGGATACCTAAGCAAACACTTGATGACATGAGTGCGTCAATACTACCAATAGATCGTTTGGATGGTGTAAATTTAGTGTTGTCTGGTTAACATTTAAAAAGTAAAAGCAGAATGGTTTAAGTGCTTGGAATAGTGTAACATGCTGTTTTTGACAAATTGGTAACAGCTACACTACTTGTCGTTATGGCAGATATGCTAATGTTCGTTTAAGGTTTGTGGTTCCATTGTTTTTTTCTGAAGGTAATTTAATAATTGTATTGCTAATATTAACGTTTTCTGTATGTTAAAAAATTTTAGTTTGAGATATTACAATTATTCTTGCAGAGAAATCTCCCAGAAGGACACCCAGGCAGTCACCACGACAAAGGCGCACGAAAGGAAGTTCAGAGGACTAGTGAAACTACTAGGTGCAACACCATGGACACACGCGAAAAGCATGCAATGATACATCCTGATATACACTGCCCATCACACCACCACCATTGCCATCATCGTCATCATACGAATGCTCTACAAATGGTTCCTTTCAATAAGAATGCGTGAATAAGTATCATTTTGAGAATGGAAAAGTTTGGAGAACATTCTCTAATGAGGTGATGGTTTTCGAAATTAGATAAGGCCAAAACAAAATATAGGTGTGGTTATGGTTTCCTGACCAACCCTATTTATTCCCAGCGACCCTAAACATTTTATTTTAAATTTTCTTTAAAGTAAAAAAAAAATTTTTTAATTAAAAAAAATATGAATTGCAGTTCCTGCTTCGAAAGGCACAACGCACATCCTTCGGACATGGTTCGTAAATAAAATATTTCAAGAAAATAAAATGTTTTCCCTACCTACCTACCCTATTTTTTTCGGCATGTATCGGTAACCACACATATATTTTGTTTTGGCCTAACTACCATTTGTTTGGTTTTCTGTATGCTGGCTATATGTCTACATACGTACATACATCCTGGCTCTCGACAAGTGATCTCCTGACATAGTTTTAGGTACGTTATCGTTGCCGTTATGTTGTCAAGCAACATTTAAACTATTTATACACGAGACACTCCTGACGAGATGTGCATGAGTTTACCTGTTGGAAAGCTGGAATCGGAACTGTATGTAACAGTTGCTGTTACCAGCTTGCCCAGAGTAGGTGATATAGATTGCCAATATAGTATTCACCAGTCAGTCGTCGTATGTTGAGCCCACCGACTGCATTTGTTTTGAGAATGAATGTGGATGTGCTGATTTCTCCCAACTTTTTTTGGGACGTGGTCTTTTATTAGACGACAAGAGTGTCGGGTGGCCGACGAGTGTTTGTGTTGCAACCATCTGTTGTATGATCGTCGAAGCATTGGTGTAGGCTTGTTAGTTTTGGAAAGGTTGTTTGTCTCGTGTTGTAAACACGTCACTGGTATATTTCACACAATGTTAATTAAAGGAAGTGACTAGGACTAAACTTCTGAGTCTTGTAGTTCTTCCCGTCACAAGTTGTAGTCACGAAAATCTCTCGAAGTACTATTTCTATTAGCAAATTACCTCATTGGGTGCAATCGGGTGTGTCCATCGAGCTGCCACTGTTTTTTATTCTGTTGAAAGTTTCTAAATGAGATTTGTTGGTAAGGGTGTTTGTGTCCTTGAAGCTATACACAATCGTGTCTCTCTAATTCTGGAAGTGTGGTGCTAGGCAAGCTGAAAGTGTCAGTTTGAGGTTTGTTCTTTGCCCCTCACGGCTTTGTCTGATCATCTGCACACAGAAAGTGAAATTAGTCAGCACATAGATCTGTATCATACAATGCGAAGGGTACTTTGGAACGTGTGTAAAAGGTGAAAATCGGGTGCAACTCTTGCCTGAAATAGGAAGTACCATTTGTCTTGGAGAACAAGGTGGTGTATAGGGCATTGGAGGGAAAAAGTTTGCGTGGTGGTGTTTTTTAGGTATACGTTTATCTTGTCCAGAACCAAACCGCTACACGATTACAGCTACTTATGCCTTGTGTGATCGTCTGTACATTCCAACTGGCATATCAACATGTACATCTGTTGTGCTGGTAACTGCTAAACATTTATCCAATAATTTTGGAGTAGCTTATCTAAGACAAGGTGCTATTAGTTGTAATTGTGCTTGGTCATGTAGCGACTTCCGATGGAGACTTTTTATTGAAAAAAATGTCTTAGTTTCGTGTTATTGGGCTGGGCAAGGTGAATGTAGATAATGTATATTTAACATGTTGAGGGGTATCATTTTCTAAAATAAAAATGGTCGAAGTTACAAAAAATGTTGTATTATACTACACCGAATACATCCGAGAGAAATTACGACTGTTGCATCTTTAAATGAAACATACAACCTTGGTTGTAAACCGTTTACACTTGCCACTGATTGTACTGAAGTAAACTTATTGTACATCGTCAAGATGAGCTATTGCCATGGGTCGTCGTCCGTCCGTCCTTCCGTCAACATTTGGCTACGATCAACGATAACTCGAGAACCGTTTGCCCCACATGTTTGAAATTGGGTATAGTTGTTACTGCTATGGGAGAGGTATGAACGTCCTATTTTGGAGCACGCGAGTCGACGTAGTTTCGAGCCACGTCAATTTTTTTGGCAAAAATGGAAATTGCCATTAGTCAGTTCAGGTTCAATGGATTTTGCTCATTTTTGGTATGCGAATGAATAAGGGCTGGTCTCAAAACGTATTACAGGGTTTTGGTATTTAAAAAAAATTTATGCAAATTAGGTAGGTTTTGGCAATTATATAGCATATTATATAGACACGCAGTTAACAGTCTGTGGTGTCACACTCGTCTGGTTCGTTTTACAAGATTTCATTGACAATATCTTTAATGCAAAATTGGTATTTCCTCTCCAACCTGCCGATAAAACGTCTATATTAGAGTAAATTTTTTCAAAACATGTCGGAACGCAGCATAACCTATTTATTTCGAACGCCATCGCTAAGAAAC